ACAACAGTTTTGTAAGAGAAATTGCAAGTACTTCTTTAACTCTTTATTTGTAAGCGTGCGTTGAAGTACTTGCGTCCAATGACATCACCGTGTTAAAATAATGACTTAAAATGCTAATGAAGATGTAGTGAAAAGAGGTTTAATTAGCTTTTTAACTCATTACTTTTCAATGTAAGTTTTTTCCTGGGAAGTTTTATAAATATCCAGACCGATATTTCTTAAACGTTGCTCAACTATAGTTGAAAATTTTATTACAAACAGCATAATATCTTTTGTAATTTGATAGTGAAGTTATACCTAATGATTTAGGCAAACAATCAAACTCTTTTAGAAAGGATTTTTTTTGAAAATTGTTTTGAAACATTTTAAAGTGATGGTAAGACTTTTAAAAAAAGATATAGTGACTTTTAAAATACCATAAATTAAACTTATACAGTTGATAAATTATTAGACTGTCAATCAGTTTTATATAGAAAGGTTTTGCTTCCAAAATAAGATTTCCAAAACTGTTATTGCAAACAATAAATTATGATGTCATTTCAAATTTAATTTAGCTGGGAATAATAATTTGTTATTTTTCTTTTATCTTAAAAATTTAAGGCCTTATTCATAAACATTTATCAAAGGTTTATAGAACAAATTTTTTATGAAAATTTCATATATAAACCTTTGATAAAAGTTTATGAATAAGACCCTTAAGGCTTTATTAATAAAAAAATTTAATTTAGAAACGTAAATTAAATGTTGTTTTATAAACCTTTTATAAAATAAAATGTTATTTATGAATAAGAGGGTTAAAATGTTTCTAATTGAAAATTAATTTTAAATCACTTTTACTTTATTTATAAAACATTTCAAATATTTACAGTATTTTTTTTAATTACCCAACTTCATGGCTAGTTAGACGCCTTTAACAGTTTTTCATTATTTTTAAAAATTTTTTTTGAAAATATGCTTAAAATATAACTTTAATATTTTCAACAATTTCATGGTTCACCTAACAATAACAGACAGCTGTGTTGCTATAGCAAATGAAACAATAATTTCTCTAAACTTAATATGTAATTAAATTTTATTTATTTACTTTCAAATAGCTATAATTAAAACGTTTAACAAAGTCATTAAACAATTTTGCAGTTATTAATATTTTAAAGAAAAAAATTTTTTCTAATTAATATTAAATTTGCACTATAAATATATGACTAAACACAATAAACATTAAAAAGAAAACGAAATTAAACAAAAAACAATTTACTAAAGTTAATAGTCGTCTACACGTTCAATGTCTTGTTCAACATTATTGTTTAGCTTTAAATAAAACAATTTATTTTTGTTTTCTTTTGTTCAACTAAGACTCACTTGTATAACATTGGCCGTTTATAATTATAAAAATAACGGTCATTGGCATTTGCACTTGCCACATTATGGTATTTAGTGCAACAGATATACATATCTACCCATGTATGCATATAATAACACGTAAACTACTTGAACTCGTTTAGACTAGTGTTTGGTATTACAACATTTAAAAATTTTATTTATAGTGCCAATGTTGTGTATCGAAAAAAAATACACTAAACTTTATACAATTTTGAAAGACTATAAATTTTTCATAGATCAGTTTTTGTTGTTTTGTTTTCAATTTGTTGCTACAAGTAAAGTTTTAGCTAATTTGCATTCATTTTTACACAACACAATTTAGTAATTATTTGTGATTTTTGTTGTTGTTTTATTTTAATACTAGCAACAACAACAAATTTAGCATAATTCATTTTTCATGATGTAATTTTAAAATTGTTTTCAAATAAATTTTATTAAAGGTGTAACTAAATTGATTTAATTTGTTTGTGGTTGTTTGCTGTTTTATTTGTTGCAAAAAATAATGTAAAACAAAATGTAATTGCAAAAAAAATGAGAGCATTTATCAAGGACTTTAACAAACTGTATTTACAATTTAAGCATGTTTTTAGTAACTGTTTTGTTTTTGTTGATTTTGTTTTTATCTAACACTAACAAATTTGAAAATTTACCCATTAAAGAGATTTGTTTGTACTACACAGTTTACCTCATTTTTGTGGTTGTGCAATTAGATTATCACACAGTTTTCCCAAATATTTTATTTAATGTTTTTTGTCAGATAAAATTACACAGTTAAGCATAAAAACGAAAGTTCTTTTTAAAAAAAAATAGATACAAAAAATTACTTAAAAACTTAATATAAATTTTACTAAAGTTAAGTTCAAAAGTTAATATTTCTATGCTCCGCTCCTTTATATTTTAATATTGTTTTACTCTGTTTATTAAGTTTTGTCATAAAGTGTTTAAAATTTATAGCATATTTTAAGCTGTTATTTAATTAACCTATACTTGTATACGATGCACACTCAGGTATGTGTTGACAACGCCAAAGAACTTTTTTCATTTCACTTTATTTTAAAACTCTGTGTTTAGGTAGTCATTTATTTAGTTTTAAAATTTTGTGGTTTAATGTTGTTGTTGCTACCTTTACTTGTTTTTTTTTTCTATGATTTGTTTATATTAAAAGTTGTTAAATATTTTACAAACGCTTTTTTTGTTTGACTTGTAGTCGTACTTTATTGTGGTTTATTTGAAAGAGTTTTTGCTGTTTTTATACCCTACACCACTATAGTGGGTAGGGTATTATGTGTTTGTGCTGATGTTTGTAACGTACAAAAATATTGGTCCTACACCTGCCTTAAAGTATACCGATCGAATCAATTTCTGAGTCGATTAAGACATGTCCGTCCATCCGTCCATCTGTCCAGCTGGCTGGCTGTCCATGTAATTTTCAACACATTTTGATAAAATTTGGACCATACGAGTTTTTCGACACAATGCCGTTGTCTCTTGGTTGAAATGGTTGAAATCGGTTCATTATTTAACCTAGCCCCCGTACAATCAGACCTTCTGATTTAGGGTTTTTAACTCAAAACTACATCAAATATACTATTATCTCTCTAAAAATTGGCGCAACTAAGTTTTATATAGGTATAAATTACCTTGCTGATTTTTATAATAATGGGCCGTCGTTTGACCCTAGCCCCCATATAAACCCCCCTTTAAAAAATATCTTAAACGTCCAAAAATTTTCTTATATTCATTGGTATCCCTACTGCCAAATTGTTGAGGATTAGCCCATATTTGATCCTAACTCCCATATAAAGTCTCTTTTAGAAATTTTGTTTTTTTTATCAACATAAAAGATTCTTTATGAAAAATAATTTTCCAGATATACTCATGGTGTAGGGTATCATGTAGTCGGCCACGCCTGACAATACTTTTCTACTTGTTATTTCTATAAATATTTTGAAAGTTAAAAAGTATTGGTATATATATTATATAAATATCACAAATAGCAACTAAAACTGTTATTGGTTTTTTAAATTTCAATATTTTTTTTTTGTAATTTTCAGTAGTTTTTTTGTAAAAGTTTTTTGAAACAAACAAGATTTTTAGTTTTTCCTTTGTTTTAAATGTTTTATTTATATTTGATAAAAATTTTCATAAAATACTTTATACATATATTCATTTGTATGCAGATCTCATATCCCTGTAAGTATGCTATGTTTTATTTAATATAGCATACTTTTAGGAGTTGGCATGATAATTGTATAAAATTTACAGTAAATTACATATAAGACCTTTAAAAATAATAAAATTTTGTGTATTATATTTAAATAAAATATTTGTACAAAAATTAAAAAATTTTAACAAATTTTTTTTTCACAAAAATTTCATAGCTCATACAACAATTTGTTTAAAAATGTAGTATATTTAAAAAAAGGATATTTTGCATTATAAAACAGTTTAATTATATAAAATTCCAAAACTCCAAAAATTTTTGTTCGCTATTTACAGCAGCATTTAATACCTATAAAATATTGTAATATTATAACTGCAAAATACTTATACATTTTCAATTTTAATAATTTACCATAAAATATATTTACATATATATTTCAAAATAAACTACAGTTTAATTAATTAAATTCATTATATCACAATCAGACACAATATCATGAAATATTCGTATAAAGTTTTCTATATAAACTACCAAAACTACAACTGACTAATTTTAAGGACATTGGCACTCATAAGCATAGAAATATTTTACAATTACAGTTATGGATATTTTACATGTATAAGTTTGAGCCTCTTTTATAATCATTATTAGCCGTTAGATTTTTTTGCTGTTGTAGTTGTAGAATTGTTGCTGACTATGGCGCGTAACGTGATATTTAATATTGTAAATATTGGCTACTTAAACATTCAGTGTCACAATGTTGTTTATAAAACTTCAATATCGTCAATTTAAAATGTACATAAATACATACATATATACATTGTACATAAGTATGTAGTTGTACTGAATATATTTATAGAATATAGTGTTTTATTCATTTATAAATAGTTTGTCTATTTATTGCTGTTATTGTTGACAGTTACTATTGGTTTTTATTCTTTCCTTTAACATGTTTATTTTAATGTTATTTATTTTTTTTGTCATTGTAAAGTATTATTGAAATAGTAAGAGTATTAAATAGGCACAGCTATTTGTTACACAAACAAATAATTAGTTGAGATTTAATGGAAACATACAGATACAATAGAATTGGAAACATAACACAGAGGGATAATTAGGCTTGCTATAATGAAACTTATTGCCTGTATTTAGGCTTTTATAATATGTGTATTTATTTGTAACAACTGTAGTGTTTAAAGCTTTTTGTGTTTGCCGTTTTTATATTTATACATATATTTTTTTATAATTTTTATGCCTGTTTTATTATTGTGAGCTGTTAATTAATTGTATGCTGTTTTCACAATTTATAATATAATTTTTAATTAGTTTTGACACATGTGTTGGTTTTAACAGTATTTTTTTTCTCTTTCTTCTTTATGATTTAATTTGTTGTTATTTATTTTTTTCATAATTAATATTTATTAATAATTTAATTTATTTCAATTGTATTTTTTAGCTGTTGCCCAGGACTCATTCAAATGTCCCGATGATTTTGGTTTCTATCCTCATGATATATCCTGTGATAAATACTGGAAATGTGACAACAATGTTGCTGAATTAAAGACCTGCGGTAATGGTTTGGCTTTCGATGCTTCTGATCCAAAATATTTAACTGAAAACTGTGACTACTTGCACAATGTTGATTGTGGCGAACGTACACAATTGGGTAAGTTAAGAGCAAAATTCATATATTGTTTGCATATTTATTAAATTTCCTTTAATTTTCTCACTTAAGAACCTCCAATTTCCACACCTCACTGCTCCCGTTTGTATGGTATTTTCCCCGATGAGAACAAATGTGATGTCTTCTGGAACTGTTGGAACGGTGAACCCTCTAGATATCAATGCTCTCCCGGTTTAGCTTACGATCGTGATGCTCGTGTCTGTATGTGGGCCGATCAAGTACCCGAATGTAAAAACGAAGGTAATTTCGAAAAACTAAAAAATTTAAAAGCCATAAATTATATATAACTTCTACTAAACTTACAGAAGTTGCCAATGGTTTCTCTTGTCCCGCTGCCGGTGAATTGGCCAATGCTGGTTCTTTCTCCAGACATGCCCACCCTGAAGATTGCCGTAAATACTACATTTGCTTGGAAGGTGTTGCCCGTGAATACGGTTGCCCCATTGGTACTGTATTCAAAATTGGTGATAGTGATGGTACTGGTAACTGTGAAGATCCCGAAGATGTTCCCGGCTGGTAAGTTTTATCCCAAATTTTCTCAACTCATCTTAATTAAGGTGTTGGTAGCTTTAAAGCTAGTTTTATAATTTAGCCATATAGTCACAAACTTTTCCAGCAATTTTTAGTTTCTATACACATACATACATGCATATATCAGCTGCTTGTTTCTTTTTTTATTTTCCAAATGCTTGTGTTATTGAATACCTAAACCCACCTTGTTTAGCCTTTTTAAGTTAAGAAATCACCTTTGAACTAAAAACTAAAAATAAGCAAAAAGATAGAAAATATCTCCTTACATATCCTTAACCGTTCACATATAAAAAAATCCCTTTACATTACAGCGAAGACTACTACGGCGATTTGGATTTGAAGAGCATCCGTAAAAGTGAACTTTTAGCTGGTCTGAATAGTGAAGGTCGCAACAAGAGCAAAGCCAAAGCTGTCCCCTCCTCCTCATAAACTCATTCATCATAACTCTACTACATAAACAAACAAAACAAACCAATACAAATACACAACAACATTTACATACAAACATCCACAATACTCTCTCTCAATGTACACGTACCACCAAAACACTCTCAATACAAATTTACAAATTTACGTGTATTTTTTTTTAAAGTAACCATCAAAAATTTTATACACTTTTGTACTAAAACAAAAACAACTACAACAAAAATACTATCCTTATAAAATACTCCTGTAAACAAAAATGTTAAAATTTTTCCAAAAGAAAATCAAAATTGTTTGTGTAGGTTCTTCTAATTGAAGAAAAATAATATTTTATTTAAAAATTTTGTTGTTTTACTTCTCTGTATGAGCTTTATTTTGGTTTAATTTATATAATTTTTTGTTTTGTTTTTTAATATTTCAAAATGCTATATTATTTTGTTTGTTTTTGTTTATCTAAAGTTAAGCCATCAGAGAGAAAACTAAAAAATAACTATATCATTTTTATAATCAATCAGTTGAGTGAAGAACAATTGAGTAAATTTATCAAAATTTTTTATATAAAAATGTCGTAAATACTTACTTTTAGACATTTCTTTAAATTTAAGTGATTTTTGATTTTAAGTTTATAATTTTATTAAAGAAAAAAAAAAAAAAAATAAAAAATAATTACGAAAAAAAATATAAAAAAATAATTTAAAAAATACAAAAAAATTTAGTTTGATTTTTTTCTACTCTAACCCTTTACTAATTTTCAGATATTTCGATACAATTAATAAAAACATTAAAGACTTTCATTATACATTCATCATATAATAACATACATACATATATCCTTAACATCCTTTTTGATAGTCGATTAAGGATTTGAGGTTTAGGTGAGGTTCAATAATTGTGATAATTTGGTGTGTAAATTTAATAATATTGTCAGAATTGTTTTTAATAAATTCTTCTCTATGCTGTAAAGAAACATTTCGGTTGTTTCTATCTGTTTTATGTTAAAATAATTTTCTATTGCTTTTTTAATTGTGTTTTAAATTGTAAGCTACATACATACATATGTATCTGATCTTTGTGGTAGTTGTTATAAATATGCACTACATATTGAGTGACATCATAGTTTTTAATTTCATAAATATTTTGTTTTTTCAGTATGTATTCTGAATCTTTGTTAATGTTATGGGACAATCTACATCCCAGTCTGTCTGCCTCCCTGTCTGTCTGTCTGTCTGTCTGTCTGTCTGTCTGTCCTTTAAATTATATAAATTTAAATAATTTTGACGGCCAAAAATTCCTCAACAACTGATCAAGTGCGGTTTATAGATCTGCTTGAGTATATCAACATGCTATATTTAAAATTTTTAAAAAACCTGTAAGACCAACCCTTAATTAAAAGATGATCGGTTTTTAAAAAAGATTGGGGATATATTGATTTTGTTATTCCGTTTGTAACACATCGAAATATTGGTCATAGATCCACAAAAGTATATATTTTCTGGGTCCTCATTAAATTCTAAGACGATGTAGGCATTACCGTCCATCCATCCGTCTGTCTGTTGAAAGCAAATAGTTGAAATTTTCCACAATAAAATAGGCAATATCGGTCCACGCATTAAAAATACGAGTCTAGCATTGAAAATCGACATAAGTAAGTTTCTTACTAGCAAAAATCTCTCTACCGAATTTTATGAGGATGGGTCCATAATATACCCTACCCCCATATAAGGTCCCCATCGGTAAATGTACTTTAACGCTCATTACTGCCTTTAAAGTAAGAGTATAAGTAACAAATAAGTTTCTTATGAGTTAAAATCTCTGTATCAAATTTTATGATGATCGGTTCACAATTGACACTACTCCCCATATAAGGCTTCTCTCAGAAAATGACTTTAACGCTCATTACTGGCTTGAAAATACGAGAATAGCGCTGCAATTCGACATAAGTTTGTTATGAGAACAAATGTCTATATAGAATTTTATGAGCATCGATCCATAATTGACCTTACCCCCATATAAGGCCCCCTTCAGAAAATGACTTTAACGACATTACTGGCTTAAAAATACGACATAGGTAAATTTCTTACAAGCCAAAATCCCTCGACCGAGTATAGCGTTGAAATTCGAAACAAACAAGTGTTATACGAAGGGGAATCTATCTACCAAATTTTACGATAATCGGTTAATTCATCTACCCTACTGGTGGGTATATAGTATAAGATTCGGCATATCCGAATATAACACACTTACTTGTTTACATTAATATCAATGTATGATAATACAATTCTGTAAAAATAAATAAAAAAATCGTGGTAATAAGTTCAAAAGCTCATTTTAAATTTAAGCAAATATTTTAACTAACTTATTTATTTCATTATACATATTAAAGTAAAGAACTTCGAGGTTATATTTTAATAATATCTACATAAGTATACATACATACTATGACACCAAAGATCTTTCTAAAATACATATAAATAAAAACAAATTCAAGTAACTCTTTAAGAACTCAAGAATTTTCTTGTGTAAAACAAAAGTTTATTTCTTATGAAATGCGGGTCCTTGGTGGTTTCAAGTTAATAGTTTCACAGTGACTCTCTTGTATTTATATTATAAAACACAACTACAATTATATAAACATACATACAACAACATACTTTTTCTCTTTTCTTATTTTCTCATAAGTAGACAAACACATAGAAATAAATACCCGCACTTTAGTTGCCATTAAAATGATGACTTTTTCCTTACTTTCCTTGTGTATTTATAACTCTAAGGATAGCTGGGTGAGTGTGTGTTGATGTGTATTTGTATGGCATTGACTATGTGTGTTTTTATTTGTGTAAATGTATTTGTCTATTTCTGTAGTATTATAAAACAAGGAAATGGAATAAAATAAGCTTATCCAATTAAAACTTGTTTGAATTAAATAAACACATCTTTAGAGATCTTAACATGAAAAAGATGAAAAAAAAAAACTGAATAAATAAAGTTTTATTTTATATTTATATATTATTTTATAAAACTAAACATCTTAGCATTTTATATTATTTACTTTTTTTCTTTCAAGTTTAATTATAGCAGAAATAAAATTATGAAAAATATATTATAAATCTTGAAATTAACCCATTAATGGGTTTGGGATTATCTGTCAGTAATAATTGTAGGAAATTAGTGCTAAAGAAATAAAATTAATGAGGACAAATAATAAATCATGAAATTTAATCTTTAAAGAGCCAATGAGTATTCCTTGAACAGTAATTATAATGGGAGTGCAGTAGTGTTTACTACTGGGAATAAGCCATAAATTTACCTAAATATCTTGTTTATTATCATTCCTTCTTATCATTCCTATCTTATCAAAATATTGTTTTATAAATCGCTGAAATATCTTTTTCTGAAACTAGAAAAATTAAATTTTTCACAAATATGTATCTATGTACTGTTAATAAGGTCTGTTTGGTAATAATATACAAGACAGCCTCCAGTCTGTAGTCTAACTAAAGACAATACTGTCATTACTACCTGTACGAGTCTTACATTCTAAAATTAAGCATTACAATCCCAAACATTTCAACGGTTAAATCAACAAATTCTGAGGGTTTTTTTTCATCTTCATAAAATAAACACAAATAAAAGTGATTAATAAAAATATATGTTTATCTTTGTTTAACCGCTTAATATAATAAGACAAAATTTGGCTATGGTAAATATACCAGTTATAGTATTTTTGGGAATAATATCTTTAACTAAACACTACAAATATAAATACACACATCCTAAAAATACTTGAAATACTCAATTATGGATATATGTTAAATACCCAGCAATTTTACAAAGTGTATCCCATATAAACTCGAAATCAAATATTTTTGTAACGCAATGCAAATTCAAAAGTTTAGTCGAATCATCCCGAATCGCAGGGTTTTATTACTGAGTTGGTATGTGTGCTTATACTTATTAATGTTTACGTTAGTATTATAATTGAGTTGTTAGAGAGCTATAAAAATGAGAACAGAAAATATATGTGGTATGTAACAAGATGACGGTTCACGGTTTTGTCTTAATCATTTTCCAACAAATCCTACACACATGAATGTCCTTTTTTTTTTTGTTATACACATTCTCCCCGATTTACAGCATATGTTATATTACGATTAGTATACAAATTCTAGAAGACTCGGCATTGCCGAAATGCGTTTCCAAATATTTAAAACGGTGCAACAACCAAATAAATAGAAAATTGACTTTTCGTACTTATAAGCCAGTAATGAGCGTTAAAGTAAACTTTCTGAAGGGAGCCATTTAAGGGGGAAGGATCAGTTATGAACCGATTCTATTGTATAGGAACTATGCGAACACATGGACTGATATTGCCCATTTTCAATATCAAACAGTGCACTCTAGTGAATTTCAATGAAGAATATTTGTGCAAAATTTCAGCTCTCTAGCTTCTCTCGTTTAGGCTCTATCGTGTCTAAAACAGACGGATGGGCAGACAGATGGACAGACAGACGGTATAGTAATAGAATTTAATAAGAATCCAGATATTTAGAAGTGTTACACACGGAACGATAAAACCATCTTTCTTGATGGTGGGTATAAAAATTACCTGAAATGTATAATTCTCGTTTATATATTTGCAACAAGTTGTTGACTTTTGGACATAATAATTATAATTTTACAATAAGTTTTTAATAAAATTTCTGTTGCTAATTGTAGTTAATTGCAAAATTTGTTCACCTTAGTCGAGGGTTAGGTGCATTAGCTTTTAGTTGTTTTTTTTCTTTTACAACTTCTTATTTTTTGCAGCACCTAAGCCACAAAAATATAATCCTTTTTTGCTATTTGACTTTAATTAATTTTAATGACGATAAGCGCCAAAAACAAAAAAATTAAAAGACATTATTATATAAAAACATATGCAATGTAGCATTAAAGTATATTAAACTTGCCCCTTGACAAGCAGAAAAATTTTCTGTTTGTTATTTAATGTTAATTAGGTTTCAAACAGAAACTATTTAAAAATTAAAACAATTTTTCATAATTTATCAGAAGCATGTTGTCAAAACTATTGCATAATTTCAACCTTGCAAAATAATTTCATTTTAAGAGCCTGTCTAATAGAGATTATTTATGCCCATATATGTGTATGTGTTTGTTGACACAATAAAAAGAAAAGCTTAATAAAACCAACAAAAACAATAAAAAATACGAATGAAAAGAAACAAACTTAAGTACTTACATATAATAATATAAAACATTAAAAAAGTATATAATAAGATTACTAAACAAAAAAAAAAAAAAAAATAAAAGAAAATAAAATTTCATTTATATAAGAAATAAGCTTAGGACATAGTCTGACAACTTGCAACCACAAGCGTAAGAACACACATCAACATAAAACTACTAACAAGGTAAATTGTTTACATTAAAAATTAAAACAATTGATGCAGGTGTGTGTGAATAAATATTTTGTAAATTCGTAATAAGGTGTTCCAAATACGTTCTTAAGAAAATTTTAAATTAACTCAATAGAACGAGTTAATTGGGCTAAATAAGTTAATTGTTGATTTAATCATGACATGATATCCCTTAAATTTTGGATTTACAAGTGTATAACATTTTAATATAAAACTAAAACTTACTTTTTGTTAATTTGAGTCAATTCATATGTATGTACTAACATAAATAAATATGGGCAATTTCATGTCAAGTGACCCAACTCAAAAAAATCGATTTTCATGAAACTTGCACCAAGGTACTGGATAGTGGGCTAGGAGTTAGAGGGGGTCAAAGTTGGACATTTTGGTCATAGAGGGTTTTATTCAAATGAGTGTAACTTTTCACCTATGGCACCTTGCATCCCACTAAGTGAAAAGTTACACTCATTTGAATAAAACCCTGTATGACCAAAATGACCAACTTTTTTGTGTCTATCCTACTATCTAATAGAATTATCATTGCTGCAAATCTCATCCAAATCGGAAGACATCGATTTTAAAAGTTC